GAGATAAAGGGGGGGGACAGGGTTGGGGAGACCCCCGTTGGGGAGATGGGGGGCCCTGGGGGGGGGGAACATTTGGGGACAATTAAGGACATTTTGGAGACAATTAAGGCCATTTTTGGGCACTCACCCCACAGTGCGGTTGCACTGGTGGCAGCAGGGACATTTTGGGGACGTTTTGGGGACAATTAAGGACATTTTGGGGACATTCTGGGGCACTCACCCCACGGTGCAGTTGCACTGGTGGCGGCAGGGACGTTTTGGGGCCATTTTGGGGCCAGTTTTGGGGCCATTTTGGTACATTTTGGTGACTCACCCCGCGGTGTGGTTGTGCTGGTGGTGGCAGGGCCATTTTGGGGACAGTTTTGAGGCATTTTGGGGACATTTTGGGGAATTTTGGGTCATTTGGATGACTCACCCCACAGTGCAGTTGCACTGGTGGCAGCAGGGACATTTGGGGGCCAGTTTTGGGGCGAATTCAGGCCATTTTGGGTAACTCACCCCGCGGTGCGGTTGCGCCTGTGGCGGCAGGGCCATTTTGGGGCCCGTTTTGGGGTGAATTCAGGCGGTTTGGGTGACTCACCCCGCGGTGCGGTTGCGCTGGTGGCGGCAGGGCCATTTTGGGGCCCGTTTTGGGGTGAATTCAGGCGGTTTGGGTGACTCACCCCGCGGTGCGGTTGGGCTGGTGGCGGCAGGGCCATTTGGGGGCCAGTTTTGGGTCACTTTGGGGCCATTACAGTTTGGGGCCCGTTTTGGGTAGAATTCAGGCAGTTTTGGGTGACTCACCCTGCGGTGCGGTTGCGCTGGTGGCGGCAGGGCCATTTTGGGGCCAGTTTTGGGTCACTTTGGGGCCATTTTGGGGCCATTTTGGGTCACTTTGGGGCATTTTGGGGCCATTTTAGCACATTTTGGGTGACTCGCCCCGTGGTGCGGTTGCGCTGGTGGCGGCAGGGCCATTTTGGGGTGAATTAATGCCATTTTGGTGACTCACCCCGCGGTGCGGTTGCGCTGGTGCCGACAGGGCACGGAGTCGCGGATGCAGGTGCCGGTGACGGGGTCCACCCCCTCCACGATGACGAAGGGCCTCTCCTCCAGCGTGGCCACCCGCAGGTGCCGCCCGTCGGCCACCGGCTGCAGGAACCGGCCGTAGCGCGACCAGGGGGGGTGCGTCAGGCGCAGGCGGCCCCCCTCCCAGCTCCCCACCTGCGGGGGGGGACACCGTGACGGGGGGGGACCCCCAGAGAGAGGGGACGGGGAGAGGAACCCCCCAGGAACCCTGGGAGATGTCACCATCTTGGTGTCACCATCTCTGTATCACCCTCTTGGGGACACGGTGGTGGGACCCAAGGGACCTCCAGACAAAGAGGATACCTCCTGGGGGAGGGGGAAGGGGAGAGGAACCCTGGGAGATGTCACCATCTTGGTGTCACCATCTCTGTATCACCCTCTTGGGGACACGGTGGTGGGACCCAAGGGACCCCCAGACAAAGGGGACACCTCCCGGGGGAGGGGGAGGGGAGAGGAACCCCCTGAGGAACCCTGGGAGATGTCACCATCTCAGTGTCACCATCTCTCTGTCACCATCCTGGTGTCACTGTCACCAGCCACCCCCTTGGGGACACGGTGGTGGGACCCAAGGGACCTCCAGACAAAAGGGGACACCTCCCAGGGAAGGGGGAAGGGGAGAGGAACCCCCCGAGGAACCCTGGGAGATGTCACCATCTCAGTGTCACCCTCACCAGCCACCCCCTTGGGGACACAGTGGTGGTGACACCACAGGGGGGATGGTGACACCTTGGGGACATTGAGGCCACCTCGGGGACACTTTGTGGCCACTCACCACCTCCCAGGTGAGGGGACACCTCCCAGGGAAGGGGGAAGGGGAGAGGAACCCCCCGAGGAACCCTGGGAGATGTCACCATCTCAGTGTCACCCTCACCAGCCACCCCCTTGGGGACACAGTGGTGGTGACACCACAGGGGGGATGGTGACACCTTGGGGACACCCTGGGGACACCTTGGGGCCACCCACCACCTCCTAAGTTCACTCCTCGTTGAGGGTGATGATGATGAGGGAGGGGTTGATGGGGTGACACGTTGGTGGGGCAACATGGGGAGATGGTGACGCCTTGGGGACACCTTGGGGCCATCTTGGTGACACCTTGGGGACACTGGGGACATCTTGGGGATGTTGAGGCCACCTTGGGGACATCTTGGGGCCACTCACCACCTCCCAGGCGCGCTCCTTGTTGAGGGCGATGACGACGAGGGAGGGGTTGACGAGGAACCCGTCCTCGTTGAAGGAGAAGTCCCGCTGCCCCCAGGTGATGTTGGAGAAGTACCTGGGGAAGAGGAAGAGGGACACCATGATGTCACCACGACGTCACCATGATGTCACCACGATGTCACCGTGACGTCACCATGATGTCACCACGATGTCACCGTGACGTCACCATGATGTCACCGTGACGTCACCATGAGGTCAGGGAGGGAGGGGGTGTCCCACCACTCACCGGTGCAGCCCGCGCCGGGCCGGGGGGTGCCCCTGGGGGTCCTGACAGTCCCTGGAGAAGTTGGGGACCCCCTGGGGGTCCGTCAGGAGGGCTCTTGCCCCCTGGGCCAGGATGGCCACCCCCCGGCGCAGCCGCTGGCCCAGCTCGTCCCTCCAACCGGCCGAGAGGACGGCGAAGAGCCCGGCGGGGGCTTCGGGGGGCACCTCGGAGCCCCCCGCCCCCAGTTGGGCCCCCACCAGGAACCAGACGTAGCCCGGCCCGGCCACCCCGGCCTCCTGCGCCCCCCGGAAGAGCGCGGGGGCCTCCTCGGGGGAGCAGAAGAGGAGCCGGATCTGGGCGTCCAGCTCCCGCAGTTGGCGGCGCCAACGGGTGCCCCGGGGGTCCTGGGTGAGGTTGAGGGTGAGGACCCCCCGGTGCTCCCACCCGATGAAGCTCCCGTCCGTCAGCCCCTCCACGTAGGAGACGAAGGCCTCGTGGCCCGGGCGCAGGGTGGTCACCAGCGCGAAGGTGGTCCAGTCGTACTCCTCCAGCACCTCGAAGATCACCTGCAGCTGCTGCTCCGTGGAGGAGCCCAGCTGGAGGAAGGTGGAGCCCGGCTCCTGGGGAGGGGGGACACATGGGGGTTGGGGACACCACGGGGATGGATGGGGAGAGTTTAGGGGGTTCTGGAGATGGTTGGGGTTGGGTTGGGGAGGGTTTAGGTGGTTCTAGAGATGGTTGGGGATGGGTTGGAGAAGGTTTAGGTGGTTCTAGAGATGGTTGGGGATGGGTTGGGGAGGGTTTAGGTGGTTCTAGAGATGGTTGGGGATGGGTTGG